CCCCCCCCCCCTCTCCGCTCGCCAACACTTTTGGGAGAAATAATGGCCAAAAAAAAAAATTTGCTGCAGGGCATCATCGGCTTTCGCAGGGCAATTCTAGCAGACACCCCCTAATTAAAAAGGGCTAGTTTCGCCCCTGGCTATGTAACTAACCCAAACCCTACCCCAACTCTAACCTCTTACCCTAACCTCAACCCTAACTCTAACCCTAACCCTAACCAAATTAATAAAAAAATCCAAAAAGAAACGACTTTACAAAATCGATAGGGCGGTTTGCTGGATGAAAAAAAGTGCTAACCCCACTTTACGCGTGCTTATTCGATTACATACGCCAGAATACGAATCGTACACGACAAATCGCAGCGTGTAAACGTAGCTTTAATCCATTTCAGTAGCAAACCCGTCACAATTCATTGGATTTTTAATAAACTTTTTAATGTTAAAGAAAGTTGTTTATCAGTTTATGTAAGACATGCTTAACTCCGTTGGGAGCTTGAGAATTAAACTCACTTCATTTAATACGGCATAAATACATAATATATAGTATACAGGGTGTATAAAAAAAAACGCAACTCGGAATTTCCTAAGAAATCACTTTGCAATTCTTAAGCATAAAAGATTTTAGGCTCCTGGGAATTGAAATCGAATTGCTAATAGATCATATTACTATCTCACGCTGCATTGCGAAATCATGAATTTGAGTGAAATACCGTAAAAATCACATTATCACGTGGTACAAATGCTGTTTTTTCATTGGACAATTTTAATTTGAGGTATAATATTATACAGAAGTCCATCTCCATTGTTCTTGCGTAAGCGCTATTCGTCATGATTCATCACTCAGCAAGTACGTATAAGCAGATCGTTTTAAACATGAGTTGATGAGACTTGTGGCAGCCATATTGGCATAACTTCATTAATTATTCTCTGACAATAAGCAATTTCTCTGAAGGCAATCATTTTTATTCCTACCAATCAACAGAAACTCTCTAACATATTAGCAACACCACTGTAGATTTTCCGTGGTCATACCTGAATATGGCCGTGTAAAATATCTTGTTCCAAATAATATATGCCAGATACCAATTGCTTTTGTTTACGATCGGAAACATGGGCGTTCTTTCCATTGTTTATGTTGTTTACAAGGAATTAATTTGTGTAATTACAGTAAAAAACATAAACAATAGGACATTATGCATGCAGGTGGAAGATTATTGATCAAGAAAAGACAAAATCTTAACATGAGATTCATATGAAGACATTAAATTAATTAAACACTCGTTTCTTTTGCTTTCTTCAAAAAATATTGACGATCTGTCATCGGATAGATTTCACACAGATCACCTTGATTTGCATAATATAGTCTATAGATAATCTTTTTTAATAATATTAATTAAGATAAGATCGAATTAGTTTTAAATGTAACCTAAATACTGTACCACAATATTTATTTGATTCTTATTAAACATTCACGAGTTTAACAATGGCTGATACAAAAGCGAACAACATAATTTCCCAACTTATCAACGGTAGGCTGGCGTGGGAGCTGGCTGTTGTTGTAGCAACTGTTGTAACTCTATTCGAATTTGTGTGGGGCGTACTTGGTTTCTGTGGGGGAAAATTGTGTTCGAAAGCAACCAACTGATAAACTGCGTTTCTCGTATGGTAACCGCGGCGGTAGTCCATTGACCAAGTGTTATTACGAGTTACCACACCGTTCCTTATCTTCCCTGCTTCAAGTCCCCAACTGTACTGATCTAAAACGGCATGCGCATCATATGTTCTTTCCGTCCAGAACACATAGCCACCAGAGACAGCTAATGTGCGAAGTAGATTATTATAACTAGTCCAGTGGATAACTAAATTTGATTTCGGATTTGTTTCATTTAAGTCAATTACCCTGATTTGATCGTACTCCTGGTCGATGTAGTAAAGTTTACTCGAGTTCTTCATTAGTCCTATGGAAGTAACGTCGGACGCAGAGATTAATCTAGAAAGATAAACAGAGCTGGAATTATTGTAACACAGTGAAACATATAGCATGCATGCGTATATTTCAACAAATCTGAAAATTGTCTACATGCGTCCATATTTATACATAAGGACCTAAAATAAGTCGCAGAAACTTCTGTGTCCGCCAATGATGCTTGCTGCTTGCTTAATTTCTGTGTAGATTTCTCGCATCCAGAATCCCTTTTTGTAGTTTTCTCTTCTTAATATTCGCCTTAAGAATAATCAACTTAAGAAGTCTTCTCC